ATCTTTTAAGAAGTGGAAGTCCAATCCTAGTGAGATAAATAGAAAGGAACATAAACACTGTCAAATCAAGTGCAAAAATGTAATAAGAAAAGCAAAAAAAGATTTTGAGGAACAGCTAGCCAAAAACTCAAAAAGAAATAACAAAATGATTTTAAAGTACATTAGAAGCAGGAAGCCTGCTAAAAAACCTGTTGGTCCCCTAGATGATCGAGCTATAAAAGAAGCAATCAAGGACGATAAAGCCATTGCAGAGAAACTAAATGATTTCTTTGCCTCCGTCTTCATGGCTGAGGACGTTGGGGAGATTCCTGAATCTGCACCGTCCTTTGTGGGTGATGAATCTGAGCTTCAGTCCCGGACTGAAGTGTCATTAGAGGACTTTGATCCAAGGTCTTTTAGCTTTGCAGTGATATTGACAGAAGAGCAGAGTGTTCCACTTCCTAAAACAACTCAACAGCATTGAAAGTTATATGACAAATGATATCATCTGAAATGGAACTTCAGAGCTTCCAATTTCAGCTCCCCTCTTTTCACTAGCCCTTTGTTACACTTATAATGGGGAGGAAAATAATGCCCCTAAAGCTATTTCGCCCATGAGTGGCAGCCAATGCAGCAACGTTCACAATTACAATATTCATAAGTAAATTTTCATGATAATTAACAAAGACAATTGTCATCTTTTGTTCTGATTACCTACAGATATGTTAAAAGTAAGGTTGCATAATTAATTTCCAAATGTAAGGTTCCTTGGAAATCCATCGAGGTTATTTTAGGGAGCTTGTTCAAGGGAGTCATCACCATAATAAACATTACCTGTCACTTCTCAGCTTATGAATTCATTATTATGGGAAAGGAAAAAATACAGCTTGAGCAGAAAGTGAAAGATAAAGCCATAGAATTATTAATAAGAAAAATACAAATCGACAGGAACGTGATGTGCTTCCTTGCCAATTTAGGGGATTTGTCTCTCTAAAATTACATTTCTTTTTTTAATGTAGAAGCTAGTTAGGTGTTTGGAAGTTCCTGCTCATCCAGACTATAAGGGGAGAATGGGCAAAGAGGGATGCTCGTAAGATGTCCAATACTTGTCCTGCTAACTTTTCTATATGGTCAAATGGATCACAGAGTTTCTGTATCTCCTGAAAAATGTGCTGCATATTAATGTGCCTAGTCCTTTCCTGACTGAGAATTATGCAAGGTGATAAGCTCCTGGAGGTAAGGACTGCTGTCTTTTGCTCTTTAGAAAAGCAAACGGGGAGCAGTGGGGCCAAAAAATCTAAGTGAATTCAAGACTGAGCTTGGTACAGTTATAGAGGGGGTGGTAGGATGAGATTGCATGTGATAGTAGTTGCAGATCAGCTACATGCCAGCAGCACATTTCTCCAATGGCTGGGAATGGTACACTAGATGGGGGGGAGGGGTCTAAGTTATTACAGAGAATTCTTTCCCAAGTGTTTTGCCCACATGCTCAGGGTGCAACCGAGGGTGTAGCTAGACTACGGAGGGGTTTGGATTTTTTGGTCTTTTTTTCAAAAAAACTTCACCTTCTAGACTGCCATCACTTTCTCTTGAAATTAAACCAAAAGAACGTGGCAGTTTTTTCAATACTGGTAAACCTACTTTTATGAGGAAGAACGCTTTTTTTCGAAAGAGCTCTTTTGAAAAAAGGCGCTATGTGATGCAAACTGTGCTTTTTTGAAAGAGAGCATCCAGACTGCCTCGGTGCTCTCTTTCGAAAAAGCGGCTCGAGGAAACCAAATGAAATTAATGGGGAGCAGGTTTAAAACTAATAAAAGAAAGTTCTTCTTCACACAGCGTGTAGTCAACCTGTGGAACTCCTTGCCAGAGGAGGCTGTGAAGGCTAGGACTATAATAGAGTTTAAAGAGGAGCTAGATAATTTCATGGAGGTTAGGTCCATAAAAGGCTATTAGCCAGTGGATTAAAATGGTGTCCTTGGCCTCTATTTGTCAGAGGCTGGAGAGGGATGGCAGGAGATAAATCGCTTGATCATTGTCTTCGGTCCACCCTCTCTGGGGCACCTGGTGCTGGCCACTGTCGGTAGACAGGATACTGGGCTAGATGGACCTTTGGTCTGACCCAGTATGGCCGTTCTTATGTTCTTATATTCTTTATACAGTAGAGTCCCTATCATCCGACCTAAATGGGACCGACACATGGTCGGATTACCGAATATGTAGGTTTCACGAGGCATAAGGGAGCAGTCGATAAAAGCATTCTCTGTCGACCGATCCGGATCTTGACTGGGCGCTGTGCCGACAATCAGCTGAGCCGGCACAGCGCAGTGGCCATTTTTATTTTAATGATATTTAAATCCCTGTTTCATTGACTATGTCGGGTAGCTATTTTACATGTCTCTGTTGGCAGAGGCATGTAGTCTAGACATACCCTAAGGTGCTGCAAGACTATTTGTTGTTTTTACAATTTTTCCAGTTACAGACTAACTCGGCCACCCCTCTGAAGCTTAAAAACTTTTGCGTTTTCAGGTGCCTAAATAGCCTTGGGGATCATGGTTAAAATATGAAATGGTGCTCCTATCGTGGAGCATGACTGTGAGAATCTCAGTTTTCATTCAGGAGTTTCTAGCCTTCATTATTGCAGAGCAAAGGTTGAAAACCTGGATCTTACTGATGACTCAGATAACAGAAGGCAAATAAAACAGAATTCAGAATATTATTTTAAAAATCTCATTAGTTTCCAGTCAATGTCATGATTTGGGTGAACTGACTCATGACTTTGGAATATCGGGGAGTGCCAATAACAGTGTTTAACCCAATTTTCACTACTCACTGAGAAAGGTTAGATGAAAAACTACATTTCCCAGAAGCCTTTCCGGGGGACTTATTTATGTCACTGAGCAGAGACTTTGGAGCATGCTTATCAGGAGAGAGTGGCGTGGAGTCAGTGCTAATTGGTGTTGCTGGACCTTTGGGAAAATGACCGCAAGCGAGTGACTCGCTGACTTTTAATTCTTTACGGATTCTTTTGGGTGGGTTAGCCTGTTATGTTCCAAGCTGAATGTGCCCCCAGGAGGAGAGGAGTTTGTCTTTCCCAGAGAGATGGCCCCGAGCCAGCAAGTTCACGCTGTCAGCCTGTGCAGCGGCTGTTGCAGAACTAGGTACTCGCTATTGTGATCATTAGAGGGACGAGAGTCGTGATTAGGGTTCGGGTGGGGAGGGGACGAGGGAAACTTCACCCCACTGCTCCGGGTCCCTGTTTATTGCTGCCTCAACGTCCAACAACTTCCTGGCACCGGGACCTTTGTACACCCCCTTCTCCTCGGTATACTTGTCTGTGTTTTGCAGCTTACACAATATATTTCATCGCATGGCTTGTCCGGATCTGTAGGTTTGAAATTGCTCCACCGTGGGTATTTCAAACCTGAATCTTTGTTGCTGAGAACAGCACGAGTGTTGGATGCAGGAGTGAATTAAGACAATTTGGGAGTGATTTAAATGTGCAACATACTCTTCTTTCTGACCGAACACCAAAAAGGCAGACGTTGTCTGTAAGCCAAGGTGATTTACCTTCTACAGGTTAGAGTAGTACAGATTCCTCTTTCCCCAAACAAAAAGATCTAATCTAATCTAATTGAGAAGCAAGTGTTTCCAGTTACAGCAGATTTGTCTGTGGAGATGAGTACAACAAAGTGATAGAAATTTAAGGAAGAGGAATGCCTCTGCAGTGCTGCAGGGTCATAAATAATTGGATATTTTGTAATATCTATGAGTGAAAACTATTTGTACATCCAAACTTGGTGCAATATCCTAGTGATTTAAGGGTTCTCTTTTGTTTAAAGACACCCAATACCAGAAATAATTTATAATATGGGGCTAAGAAATTTATTATTTGTATCACTGTAGTGCCCCAGAGACCTAGTGGTGGATCAGAACCTTAGATGCTGTACAAGCGCAGAACCAAGAGGTAATCTATACTATAAAGAGATTGCATTCTAAGTATAAAAGAAGAGCCAACAGATGGATCCAGACCGCCTAGGGCAGTGTTTCTCAAACTGTGCTCCGCGGAGCCCCAGGGCTCTGCGAGACACCTCCAGGGGTTCTGCGAGTTGACAAACTGGAAACATCAATAGGTACAACACATACAATCAGTGGACCGCTGGGGTGCCGCATACATTTTTATGCATGTAAAGGGCTCCGGAGCCCAAAAAGTTTGAGAACCACTGGCCTAGGGAATACGAGGCAGTGTTTCTTAGCACCATGGGCAGTGGTCTCAGCACACCAGCAGCCTCACTATTGTCAAGGTTTTTTGATGCAAGGGGTAGCCTGTAGGTTCACTACCCCGGAGCAGCACAGGGAAGGGATTGAGGTATGATTAATCTACTAATCCACTTGTTTCAGGGGGTAGATGTGTTAGTCTGTAATTGAAAAAACGTAAATAGTGGGTAGTCCTGCAGCAACTTAGAGACTAACAAAAAATTTAGATGGTATCATGAGCTTTCGTGGGCACAACCCACTTCTTCAGATGGATGGAGTAAGAGGTCCGGAGTTGCAAATAAATAGCAGAAGAAGAGGGAAATTTGTAAAGGGGGAAAATTGTCAATTGGGATGGGAAGGAAAAAAATTGTCAATTAGAATGTCCATGCTAAATGAGGCTAATAGAAGGGATATAAATACCTGATACCTATCTTGTAATGTCATTAGGGTGTTAAATGTAGCCCATCCACGTAAGGTCTTTGTTCAGACCTTAGTTCAAGGTGTCAAATCTGTAAATGAAACCAAATTCTATAGCGCCTCTCTCAAGTTGGTTTTTAAAATTGCTTTGTAATAATATACTCACTTTTAGATCCATTAGTGAGTGCTCGGGCAAGTTAAAATGTTCCCCAACAGTTTTCTGTATGTTACCATTTTGAATATCTAATTTGTGTCCATTAATCCTTTGTCGTAGAGACTGTCCAGTTTGGCCAATATACACGGTAGAGGGGGTATTGCTGGCACTTGATGGCATAGATCACATTGCTGGATGTGCAGTTATATGAGCCTCTGATGTGGTGGCTTATATGGTTAGGTCCTGTGATGATGTCACTTATATAGATGTATGGACAGAGTTGGCATTGGAGTTGATTGCAGAAGTGGGTTCCTGGATGAGTATGGGAGAGGTGTATTGTGTAGTTGCTGGAAATAATTTGTTTGAGATTAGGGGATTGGCCTGTCTTCCCAAGACCTGTGAGAGTGAGGAGTGATTTTCCAGGATAGTTTGTAGATTGTTAATAATGCGCTGGAGGGGTTTAATTTGGGGGCTGTAGCTGATGACCAGAGGTGTTCTGTTGTTAGGCCAAAAGTGTTCTTTCTTTGTTAGGCCTATCTTGAAGAACCTGATGACTGGGTAGTCGTCTGGCTCTGTCAGTCTGTTTTTTCACTTTCCTGGATGGGTATTTAAGTTTTAAGAATGTTCTATATAGATCCTGTAGGTGTATATCTCCATCTGTGGGACTGGAGCAAATCTGGTTGTATCTTAGGGCCTGGCTATAAACAATCAATTGGGAAATGTGTCTTGGATGGAAGCTGGAGGCATGTTGGGAAGTGTAATGGTCAGTAGGTTTCCCGTATAAAGTGGTGGAAATGCGGCTGTAGAGTAATTTAATTGTACTGTAGTGTCAAGGAAGTGGATCTCTTGTGTGGACTGGTACAGGCTAAGGTTGATGGTAGGATGGAAGTTATTGAAATCCCTGTGGAATTCTTCTAAGGTCTCCTTCCCATAGGACCATTGAAAATGTTGTCATTGTTGAATAAATAGAATAATGGTGTGAGGGGGCGAAAGCTGAGGAAACGTTATTTGAAGTCAGCCATAAAGACATTGGGATATAAATTGTCCCCAAATTGGAAATAGGTGTGGGTGAGGACAAAGTTGCAGAGCTCTGTAACCAGGCGTGTTGCGGCGTCATCCGGGATAGTGTTCCTGACAGCCAGTTATTCATCATCGTGTGGAATGTTGGTGTAAAGAGCTTCTACGTCCATGGTGGCAGGATGGTGTTTTCAGGAAGATTACTGATGCTCTGTAGTTTCCTCAGGAAGTCGGTCATGTCTCGAAGGTAGCTAGGAGTGCTGGTAGCATAGGGTCTGAGGAGAGAGTCAATATAACCTGATAATCCTGCTGTAAGTGTGCCAATGCCTGAGATGATAGGTTGTCTGGGATTTCCAGGTTTGTGGATCTTGGGTAGCAGATAGAAAACTCCTGGTCAAGGATTTGTGGGGGTGTTTGTGTAGATTTGTGTAGATTTTCACTAATCCATGTGTAATCCAGAGGCACCGAGAGACAGGGGAGAGTGAAGTCTTCTCTACAGCATTAGCTAACAGTCAATTGACTTTTAGCTCATGCTGTGAAGGCACATGGATTTTGCCCCTAAGGTTTCAGGTTCAATCCCTCTTGCTGAGGACCAGGGTCCATTGACTTTACACATGCCAATAGCAACTTGTTTCCTCCTCTGCTTGAAGCAGCTCCCTCATGTTGCAGGATGGAGTGGTCAAACATCTGTCCATTTAATGCACCCCTGCATGGGGATGAGATTACTGGCTGTGGGGGGCACAGACGAAATGAGGAGTAAGTGGGCACCTGACCTGCCCAAATGCATTGGTCATAGAGTATGTACAAATGTGAGAGTAACTGGTAGGTATTTAACGTGCTCCTGCATCTTCCAGAAACTCCAAATGCTTCTCCAAAGAAACCTCAAAAGCAGGGGCAGGTGGTAAGCCTTGGATCTGGAAGGGAAAAACCTTGGGATAGAATGCAAGATGATTGATGTGTTTTAGTTACCTTGTCAAAGGCACGATGAATACAGCTCTTAAGGAAGAAGCCGCAGATTCCTATATTCATGGGCAATAATGAGCCCCTTGCCTCAGTCAGGATGAGCACCAGCTAAGAGCGCCTGGGGCAAATGCTGCCAGCCTATATTTCATACCAGTGTGTTCTGCAGCATGGGGCCTTGTTCATCTGTGTTCCCTGTTCTTTTCTACTAGTAACCTTTCCCCTGGACCTCACGAAAACGCGACTGCAGATCCAAGGTGAAGCTGCTGTTCATCGGTATGGAGCCGCTGCCGGAAGAGCTGTCCCCTACCGTGGCATGCTACGTACTGCAGCAGGGATTGTTGAAGAGGAAGGCTTACTGAAACTCTGGCAAGGAGCTACGCCTGCTGTCTACAGACACATAGGTGATTCTCTTGTCTCTCATCAGTGAGCCAGAATACTTTATGCCAGTGTTTTCCCAAATGGTGCACTGTGGAACTCTGGGGTTCCATGAAGTGAAAATAGGGGTTCTGTGAGAAAATTCCATTACAACCTGAATTATTGGAATGGAATGAAATTTTCATTAATTTATTAATTTTATTGAAAACAATTTTCATTTGTGTTTGCCACGATAAGGGTCCCTGTGTAATGCCAGCTTAGCCAGAGAGCGAGGACCATGTAATGCCAGCTGAGCCAGAGAGCGGGGATGATGATGTCACTACTCAGCACTGCGCGTGCAGTCAGCCATGGGTTCCACAAAATTCGTTCAGGTTCAAAAGGGTTCCATGGCCAAATAAAATTGGGAAACACTGCTCTATGCTATGTGCCAGACCTGTAGGCTGTGTCTACACTGGCACCCTTTTCTGGAAAAGGGATGCTAATGAGACAAGTCGGAATTGCAAATGCCGCGGGGGATTTAAATATCCCCCACGGCATTTGCATGAACATGGCTGCCGCTTTTTTCCGGCTCGGGGCTTTGCGGATTTTGAGAGGAATAAGGGATCTTCCGGAAAAGGCTTTATTTTCCGAAAGATCCCGTCTAGACTGGCACTTTTCTCCGGCAAAACCCCAAGCTGGAAAAAAGCGACAGCCATGTTCATGCAAATGCCACAGGGGATATTTAAATCCACCGCAGCATTTGCAATTCCGACTTGTCTCATTAGCATCCCTTTTCCGGAAAAGGGTGCCAATGTAGACACAGCCATACTGTCTTGTGCGATCATCGTGCCATGTCAGTTTGTAACCCCTCTGGCAAGCGCCAATGGCAGCACAAAGACTCATTTGATATGCCTAGAAGTCTTCTAAAATTATGGCTTGAGCCCTCGGCCAAAGCCATACTCTGACTTCTGGCTCTGGGAAGTTAAAATAAACTTCCTCCCCTGTTACCTTTGCAGGTTTGTGTTCCCCTCTCACAGGCACTCAGCATCCTTGGGATCAGATCCTGGAACTATTACTTCCTTTTATATGGCCAGGGGAAGACAAATTCCAAGCATGATTACTGCACATGTATTTATATGAAATACAACTGTGTCAGCTGCTCAATCCTGCAGACCCAAACAGTAACTGAGCAGCTTACTGGGGATTCTTAATCACACAACAATTCTCATGCATGTGAAACCTCACTCCCAGCTCCAATTGGGGCTTGTGTAAATGAGAATACTCTGGAAATTTAATCCAAATTAAATGTTAAAGTAGTTTAGTAAAACCACATTAAATACCTGTGTGAACACTTAGGCTATGTCTACACAACAGCGTTATTGCGGAATAACTGACGTTATTCAGAAATAGCATAGTCTGCGACTACACAGCAAGCAGTTATTTTGGCATAATGTCAAAATAATGTCGAGCTGGAGGACTTCTTACTCTGAGTCCTGTAACCCTGATTTTTCCTGTAACTCATTTTACAAGGAGTAAGGGAAGTCAGAGGAAAAGTGCTCTAAGATTTCCTGCTGTGTAGACAGTGCCAAAAGCCAAAATAAGCTATTTTGACTTAAGCTACTGCAATTGATGTAGCTCAAGTTGCACAGCTTATTTCAGCTTTAGCCCTGCTGTGTAGACGTGCTCTTATTCAGAAGTGGCCTCATTTGATTTAGCTTGTTGCACTTTACAAGTGGTCTGAGACTCGGTTGTTGTTAGAGGGAAGCTCCCCTCTGTCTTTTGTCTGCTCCGGTCCAGAGAAGTCCCACTCCATGGTGAAGCTACCTTGTCCAGTTAAAAGAAATCTGCTTTTGTGATGCTGATTCAATTGGGCCTCACTGAGAAGTCAGTTTTGCACCCCAGGGTGGATCACACTGAAATGTGACCTCTGTCCCTTTGCTGCAGCTAGTCTGGTCAGGCCTTGCCATGATGTCAGTTCTTGCAGCTCCACTTCAGTTGGTTCAGTTGGACCTCACAGTGTAGTCACTTGTGCACCACTGCCACAGCTAGTCTAATTGAGTCTCACCGTGAAGTCAGTTCTGCATCCCTGCCATGGCTAAGGATTCTTTCATCCCCAGAATACAGGCTGTCGTACCTCGGTGTTTTCGTACCTCGGTACCTTCGGTGGTCTGGACTGTCAGTGTCAGCGTCGTCTGGTCAGGGTTGTCCTGGCGCGCTCCTGACAGGACCTCTACTCCATTGATAAACTTTCGGCTGCGTGCGTAACAATCGGTACTCCCTTTATCTAGAGTGTTAGACCCCGTGCACTTGGGTCAACACAAGAGATCTCTGAGAGGCCCCGGAAATGACAGATGCAGGCAAGGTTTGAAATCAATCGAGCAGGTTTATTGTCATATGTGAAGCTCTACCAGTTGGTAACAGAGATCAGTACAATGTTACCCCACTGGGCACTATGGCCCGCGTTGACAAGCTACCAACCCCGGGCAGGCCTATCGCCATATAACAGATATTAACAGCAGTTAGTCAAAGTTAAGCTACTGTGCACTCTGTAAGTTTAGGCAATAACACCTGCCGTTCAGGCGCCTAGTGCGCCACCCCCCCCAAGGTCGGCTGGAGAGCACCCTCTGCGGTGTCCTTTTATAGACAGGTACAAACAACTTACATCATTTCTTTACGTACCAGGTTACCACCCTCTGTTGCCTAGTTACCACCCCTCACCTTACGGAAGGGGGGCTTACTTACTATCCTTCATGCTGTCAATTTCGACCCAGTCCTGAACCTAGGTCGGTATGTGCATTAGTTTTTAGGGAGTTTTTGTACCAAGACATTTCTTATTAAGATGTTCCATTACTCCCCTTTGGCTTACAGTCTGTACACAGTGCCTCCCTGTGTCCTTCCATGCTCGACCTAACTTACACAATCACACAATTATCAATAGGGCCTCTTTCTTGGCTCTTGTTACTGAACCAAAGTCTTGCTCACTAGATTGCAGGCCTGTTGCTGTTTTCATGTTACAGGCCTCTATTTAGGCCTGCTGACTCCATGTTACTGACCCTCAATTTACTACACAGGCCATTCCAGTACTTCTGACTACAGCATAGATCTGCCCTCTAGCTGCATGACTTTACTCTCACCAGAGTGACCTCGTATTCATGATGCGTGTGAAATCATGCCAGCAGAGGTGGTGCATTGTGCACTTCAAAACGTTACCCCCCATCTATGATACCAGGCAAAAACTGCATCCTGTATTGTCTCAGTACAGCGTATGGGAGAAACATTGTAAAAACAGGTCTTTCCAGCCTAAAACTGGAAGAATGGCCTATCATGGCTACTCTAATTGGGTCTTGCCATGAAGTCCATTCTGTATCCCCATCACAGCTTGTCCAGTTGGGCCTCATTGCTGACATGTCACAGATGGTGTCAAAGTTATTCCCCGCTCTGGCACTACGAATGCAGAAGGTGGGGGCATGCAGGAGAGCTCCAAAACCTTGCCTCTACAGGCACTGGTTACAAAAACTTCCCCCCAAATCCTAATACACAGATTTTGGGGGATTTGCTGCCATCATGAAGTGCTTTTTGATCCCTAAAAAAGCAGGGGTGAAGACTTGAAACCACCCAAAGGGGTACCCCAAGCTCTTTTGCTGAAAAACAACTTGAAAAAAAAATAAAACCAAGCTGCAGTCTCTGGTAGCTGACCCCTGAGTCAGAGGCAAACAGATACACACAGACAGACCTTCCAGGACACAAGAATCAAACCACCTTAAAAGAAGTGATCTTTATTACAAAACAAAAGATAAACTTGGTAAAGCATACTTGGTTGCTAGATGTACAGAGCAACTAAGGAAAACAAATTTAAACAAATCAGAGAACATCTCTGGCACAATGCTTAGTTGGTAAAGGGAAAAGAGAGGCATAGACTCACACAGAGCAGTTCAAACAAAACCACAAAACAAAGAAAAATTATCCTGAAGGTGACTGGACTCGCATTTCCCTGGTACTCACTTCTAATTTTTCTCTTTGGCTGTGTCCAGACTCAGGGGTTTTTTCGGGAAAAGTAGCCTTTTTCCGAAAAAACTTCACCTGCGTCTAGACTGCAGCCGCGTTCTTTCGAAATTAAATCGAAAGAACGCGGCTTTTCTTTCGACGGCGGTAAACCTCATTTCACGAGGAAGAACGCCTTCTTTCGAAAGTGCTTCTTTCAAAAGCTTAGATGGTAGTAAATGGGGAGGGGAGGCATAGATTTACACAGAGCAGTTCAAACCAAACCCCAAAATAAAGAAAAATCTCCCTGAACGCAACTGGACTCCTTTCCCCTAGTTCTTGTTTCTAATTTTCTTCAGCCTGCTCCCATGCCCTGGGGGTTGGTTGTTGGAGGTGGGGGTGGAGGGTATGGCAGTCCTGCCTGGGTTTAAACCATTGTCTCTCTCAGCTCCTGGTGTTAACTCTCCCCCCACAAAGAAAGCAGGCAGGGAACCTATATCCCATTCAAATGTCAAGCCTCTATCTCAGTTGGCTCTCCGAGTCCCCTGGCCGACACCTTTGCTAGGTACCTGAGTTAACCCCTTAATCACCGGGTGCTGGTCAGCACTCCCCCTGTTTATAACAGATGGTCTGGTCAAGGTTTGCTGTGAGGTCAGATCTGACACTTCTGCCACAGCTGGTCTAGTCAGCCTTATAGTTTGGCTTCATTGCCGTTGGCACTGCCATCAGTTCAGTCCTACAGAATCACTCTGCGCAGGATTCAGAGTCTCCAAGTGCAGAATGCTGAGACTGAGCCATGCTTGCTGGAATAGAGCTCCTGGTCTTCGGAGAAGATTTCTCCCAACCTTGCCTTGCCGAACTTGAGTTTCATTCCCTAATCAGATTGTACTACTTGTGATGTCTGGTTGACCCATCTACTCCAGGGCACGTCGCACCTTGCCTGTGAACTTTCATGTCTCTAGTCACATAACAATTTTTTATTCATGCAATCAAAATGAAAACTAGTTCCAACACGCTATATAGAACGATGAGTAAACAACATTATAATTACGGCTAAGACTTAATTGTGGTTATTTTTATTAAGGCTCGTGCACAGACCATGGACAATAAACAAAACTTCATGGCCCATGACCTGACCAGACTTGTATTATAAATACCCCTCACTAAATCTTAAGTGCTTTGGGGTGCTCCTGGGGCATTGCTGCTGCACAGGTTGGTGGGAAAGGAGGAAGGATAGGGCTCTGGAGTGCCATTGCTGCTCTGGAGGGGGGGCAAACAGGGTTCTGGGGCACTGCTGCTGCTCTGGGGGAGGGGTGTAGCGCTCTGGGGCATTGCTGCCTGGGGCTTATTGGGTAGCCCTGTGGTCCGCTATACTGGCTGTAACTTGCAGGAGTCTTGGACATGCAATCTGTGACTTCCATGACAGACTTACAACCTTAATTATAACTGAGGCTGGCCTGAGGTGGCATTTCCCTTTTAGAGGGAGCCAAGTGCTCCATCTCTAAACCTTTTCATGGTTATTTATGTCCTCGCTTGAGCTGGCATGTGCAGACAAATAATACAATCAGACATTTTCATTTAACCCCCCTAGTCTTCCTCTGAGGACCAGGACTCAAAGGGTACATCAACACAACAGCGTCATTTTGGAATAACTGATGTTATTCCAAAATATCATAGTGTGCATCTACACTACAAGCCTTTATTTCAAAATAATGTCGAGCTGAAGGACTTCTTACTCAGACCCCTGGCAACCCTCATTTCATGAGGAGTAAGGGAAATTGAAGGAAGAATATTCTTCGTTCGACTTCCTGCTGTGTAGACAGCGCCAAAAGCTGAATTAGGCTATTTCAACTTCAGCTACGCAACTGACTTAGCTAAAGTTATATAGCTTAATTCAGCTTTAGCACCCTGCTGTATAGATGTACTAAAAGAGCTTTGTTTCTCAGGGACATCCAGGAAAATAAATCCAAATTAACTAAAGTTTGGAATTTGAAGGGGATAATTATACAGCACTTTTCATCAGTAGGTCTCAAAGTGCTTTAGAAAAGACATCACTATTACTATCCTCCATTTGTAGAGGGGAAGTGGCTTTTTCAAGGTCACCCAGCAGGTCCATGGCAGGGCTAGGACTCAAACCCAGGATCGCTGAACTCCAGTCTAGTGCCCCACTTTGCCTTTCCCTTAGCAGTGAGAGGTTCTCAGAGAGACCTAGTTTGTATTTTTTTTAAATTGCAAATACAGTTGACAGTAGTAAATCATAAAGGGAGAAAACACACACAGAGGATTCTTTTATGACTAATTTGCTGGAAATAAAACAAATCTCACAGAGTGGTGAGATGGACAATGAAGTAAAGTGTCTTAAAGTGCTGACACAGCTCGTCTTTGTAACAAGAAATACCGTTCAGCAAAAAAGATTCCCTTACACTAAAAAGTTCATGGGAAGGGCAGATATTCCATTCAGCCTCTTTTTTTGCTCCCCTTTTGAATTATTTGTTATTACAGAATCAACCAAATCCTCAGTCAGGATCAAGGGTCCCATTGTGCTAGGTGGTTTACAATTCATCTCTTGGTTTTCTGTTATAGTACAAACAAAAGAGATGGATGCTCTAAGCCTTCTATTGTGGTTTTGTTTTCTGTAGTATACACAGGAGTGCGGATGGTTACATATGAACATCTTCGTGACTCCGTGCTTGGCAGAGCTGAAGACAAGAGCTTTCTTCTTTGGTAATTCTGAATAAATCTGCTACTGCTTACTGTTGGAATTGTTCTTGTTATAGCAGTTCTGTTAGCCCTGGAATATTGTCTCTCGCAGTTTACCTACATAAAAAAGCTGCATTAGTTTAACTAAGATTTGAATTTAAAATGATTTAATTAATCCAGTGCAAATATCTGTGTGGACACTCTTACTTCAATTGAAAAGAAGCTTCCTTTGGTTTAAGTTGTCTGGGAACAGGTTTGAGCAAAACTGAAATAAGAGTGTCCACACAGTTTTCCATTCGTTTGACCAAATTGGTTTAAAAACCTGTGCAACCTTCCTATGTAGACAAGATCCTGGAGTGAAACTCATTCATATGCAAGTCGTATGCAACATGGTAAATTACTATTCAGTCTCTACTTTGAGGATTTAAGTGGTTGATAGTCCTTGCGTTGGCCGTTTGCAAGAGTGAATTTCACCCTAAATCACTAACTTGCAAAAGTCAGTAATTTGCGGTGAATATCCTTATCATTTAAGAGAGTTGGCAGTTTTTCAACAAGACGTTTATTAAGGACATAAGAGTAAACTATCCCACTGCATAGGAAAGAAAGGACATATGGCAAGAGATGACCCTCGCTTAACCAGGATCTTCAAGAATCTGAAACTCAAAAAAGAGTCCTACAAAAAGGGGAAACTAGGTCAAATTACTGAGGATGAATATAAACAAACAGCACAACCATGTAGAGACAAAATCAGAAAGGCCAAGGCAAAAAATGAGATTAAATTAGCTGGAGACATAACAAGAAAACATTCTACAAATACATTAGAAGCAAGTAGAAGATGGACAAGCTTGTATTCCTTCCCTCGGTTGTTAATATTCATTGTGGTGAGCATCTTAGGCTATGTCTACACTAAATGGAGATTACCACTGCTGTGATTGTTCTTCTGGAGTTCAATTTAGTGAGTGTCATTAAGACTCACTAAATTGAACTCAAAGGTGGCTGCCAATATTCCTGCTTGTGCGAGGAGTAAAGGAAGCTAATGGGAGCATTTGCTTCCATTGGCCTCCCACTATGGGGACAGTGGGGAAACATGAAACAAGGTGCCTCAAATCCAGCTATGTAATTAACATCGCTGGAATTGCGTATCTTGCTTCAATGTCTCCTTTTAGTGTGTAGACCTGGCCTTACCATCATTAACCTTTTTAGTGAAGACTGAAGCAAAATAGGTGTTAAACACCTCAGTTGTCTTGATGTCATTTTTAGCTCTCCTTCCCCATTAACTTTGACTTTCTGTTGTTCCTAGAATTTTTAAATAAGCTCTATTTATTGCCTTTTATGTCCCTTGCCAGATATAATACATTTTATGCCTTAGCCTTTTTGATTTTGTCCCTACGTGTATGTGCTGGTCTATTGTACCCTTCCTTACCAATTTGACCATCTTTCCATTTTTTTACTATTCTGTTTTGATTTTCAGGTCATTAAAGAACACCTGATGGAGCTTCTTTTTTTAACCCTCTGTTGAGGTCATATTTTGTAGTGAGAATCATTTAGATTTAGTAATAACTTTTTGTTATACTAGTAATATATGGAGCAAGAGTAAAGACTTATTTGTAAATTATATGTTCTTTTTTATCTTGTCATTGTGCCTTTAAATCATAAGTGTGGAAAAATTCTAAACATAAGAGGTTATCAGAAGATTTTATTTTCTCTTCACCACAGAAACCAACTTCTGTTTGTAAGTGGAAGTATGGGAATAAAAATATTTTTATTGAGACATAGAAAAGGGTACCAAACGTTAAAAATCACCACATTCCCGGTCCCTCATCATTCATCACAATTGACATCAGTAACTGTGATACATTTAGGGGCATCTCAGTGGAACTAGGTTCAGTGATGCACAAGTTGATTGACTGTTCAAACAGCCAAAGAAACAAGATTCCTTTTGAAGTGCTAATATGTTGAATGTCCCTCCTTCTCAGCCTGGCTAGTTGCATGACCTGCCTGTGCTCAGACTTCTGGGGGCTACCTCTAAAAATCTCAGAGCTTACGGATGGGCTGCAGGTGGTGTAATCATGAAAGTAACAACTTGGAATGCATTGGGAATAGCAAGAGTTGTGAAGAAGACCATTCTTGAGCCCCAGTGCTCTACGAATTCACTTAAAAAAACTCTAGGAAAATCCTATACTGACTTTAAGTATTTGATACCAGCTTCTTCCCAAATAAAAAGAAATCACAAAAGGAAAATGCAGTTAAAGGCACATATAGTTCCTGAGTGCAATTAGCATATTTTGGTGATGTATATTAAATATTTTATTTCCAAGTCACTTTTAACACTGTATTATAGACTGTACTATCCATATGAAGTTACTACAATTATTAAGTTCTGGCTGTTGATGCGAGAAGTGGTTGCTTAAGATTTCATTTCAACTGGAAGATGCTACAAAGCTCATTAGCTCAGGCATTCATTTTCACTGGGGAAACAGGCATTGTGATTTCATAGTTGTTAACATCTTGAATGTAGTTTGGAGAAAAATGGGAGCTTAGGTCCCACTTTAATTTTTTCCAGGAAATCTGTAGTTGGAGGAATGGCAGCTGGTGCTATTGGTCAGTTTTTTGCCAGTCCAACTGATCTGGTGAAGGTGCAGATGCAAATGGAAGGAAAGCGGAAACTAGAAGGGAAACCATTACGGTGAGTTCTCAAGTAAGCTCATTTTAATTGTCATTTTTTTATGTTGTCAGTGGTCATTCTGTGGATGTTGACAATTGTCATGTAGTGTGGGACAGATTTTTGGGACTTTGAATCTGCGATAATATATTACCATTACTACACAAAACCCTGTGGTTTAGGTAAGGACTTTTGTTTGCTTGTTTTTTACACAGGAGAACACTGTTACATGGATTTTAAATGATTAATGGACATGAATAGTGTAGCCCCTAGGCTGGTGTATTTTAGCATAGCTTCATGAATGGAACTGTGCCTATTTATACCAGCTAAGGCTGGAGACTGAATTTCCATCAAAATAATTCCTTGAAGTTATGATTATGGCAAATTGGTGGGGCAGTGTGGGGAAGCTTGCCTAATCGCTGCCCTTAATGTAAAGGATCTCTTTTGTGAGTAAATAGAGGACTTCAGCTTCCACGGATGCCATATCACTAACCTTTAGTAGCATTAAACACTCCTATTATTTTTTTAATTGTGTACTACAGAAAGCACAAGAAGTCCTCCGGCTATGTGTACAACAGGGGCTCATCTACACTGGCCCCTTTTCTGAAAGGGGCATGCTAATTTCACAGGTCGTAATAGGGAAATCCGCGGGGGATTTAAATATCCCCCGTGGCATTTAAATAAAAATGTCCGCCGCTTTTTTCCGGCTTTTAGAAAAGCCGGAAAAGAACGTCTACACTGGCCCCGATCCTCCGGAAAAAAGCCCTTTTCCGGAGGATCTCTTATTCCTACTTTGAAGTAGCTTTGAAGTAGGAATAAGAGATCCTCCAGAAAAGGGCTTTTTTCCGGAGGATCTGGGCCAGTGTAGACGTTCTTTTCCGGCTTTTCTAAAAGCCGGAAAAAAGCGGCGGACATTTTTATTTAAATGCTGCGGGGGATATTTAAATCCCCCGCGGATTTCCCTATTACGACCTGTGAAATTAGCATGCCCCTTTCAGAAAAGGGGCCAGTGTAGACGTAGCCCCAGAAGTTTGACTGTCACTGAGTTCTTTACTCATTAGCTGTATAACTGAGTGTTTGTGAAGACATGTGTCATCTGTCATGCTAAATAATGTCAAATGTTATGTATTTCAGATTTCGTGGAGTGCACCATGCATTTGTGAAGATCCTGTCTGAAGGGGGAATTCGGGGCCTTTGGGCAGGTTGGGTGCCAAATGTCCAAAGAGCTGCTCTGGTAAACATGGGAGGTAAATCTAATAACGTAAGGCTGAGCTCCTTAAGTGATTATCTCTTTGTCTTTCCAGAACGGTTGGATTATCTTTGCCACCCTTCCTGAGGCTTTTTTTTTTCCTGCAGGATGATGAGGTCCTTTGAGTTCAGGAATGTTGCCTAAGGAACTCCCTTCACAATCATGTCCCAATGCTCAGAGTAGCTTCTAATTTCTAGGCCATTTGACTCAAGGTTATTTTAAGTATCGTTGCTGGTGTCTGTGAATCCTGTTTTAAGACTGAGGGGCCAGTAGTAAGGGAGTCTAAGACTAGTGTTAGATAGAAGTGAGCCTGAAGTGAGAATTAGAGAAAGGATAACAACTAACAAGAAGATATATGTTGGGAAACTAACACAGCGAGGCACAGGCTATCCAATAAGTTTCTGGACTGCATTGGAGACAACTTTCTGTTTCAGAAGGTTGAAAAAGCTACCAGAGGAGAAGCTGTTCTGGATTTGGTTTTAACAAATAGGGAGGAACTAGTTGAGAACTTGAAAGTGGAAGACAGTATAGGGGACAGTGATCACGAAATAATAGAATTCATGATCTTAAGGAAAGGTAGAAGGGAGACCACCACAATTGAGGTTATGGATTTCAGGAAGGCAGATTTTGATAAGCTCAGAGAACTTGTAGGTAAGGTCCCATGGGAAGCAAGACTGAAGGGAAAAACAACTGAGGAGAGTTGGAAGTATTTCAAAGGGACGTTGTTAAGGGCCCAAAAGCAAACAATTCCGTTGTGTAGGAAAGATAGAAAATATGGCAAAAGACCAGCTTGGCTTAACAAGGAGATCTTGCATGATCTCAAAATAAAAAAGGAGTCATATAAAAAATGGAAACTAGGACAACTAACAAAGGATGAATATAGGCAAGCAACACGGGAATGCAGGGGCAAGATTAGAAAGGCAAAGGCACAAAATGAGATCAAACTAGCTACAGGCATAAAGGGAAACAAGAAGACCTTTTATAAATACATTAAAAGCAAGAGGAAGACCAAGGACAGGGTAGGCCCACTGCTTAGCGAGGAGGGAGAAGCAGTAACAGGGAACTTGGAAATGGCGGAGATGCTCAATGACTTCTTTGTTTCGGTCTTCACCGAGAAGTCTGGAGGTGTGCCTAACGTAGTGAATACAAGCAGAGAGAGGGTAAGTTTAGAAGATAGGATACACAAAGAACAAGTTAAAAATCACTTAGGAAAGTTAGATGTCAGCAAGTCACCAGGTCCTGATGAAATGCATCCCAGGATACTCAAGGAGCTGATAGAGGAGGTATCTGAGCCTTTAGCTATGATCTTTGAAAAATCATGGCAGACAGGGGAGATTCCAGAAGACTGGAAAAGGGCAAATATTGTGCCCATCTATAAAAAGGGGAATAAGAACAACCCAGGAAACTACAGACCGGTCAGTTTAACGTCTGTCCCAGGGAAGATAATGGAGCAGGTAATTAAGGAAATCATATGCAAACACTTGGAAGGTAATAAAGTGATAGGGAATAGCCAGCATGGGTTTGTGAAGAACAAGTCATGCCAAACTAATCTGATAGCTTTCTTTGATAAGATAACGAGCCTTGTGGATAAGGGAGAAGCGGTGGATGTCATATACCTAGACTTTAGTAAGGCATTTGATACGGTCTCGCATGATATTCTTATTGATAAACTAGGCAAATATAACTTAGATAGGGCCACGATAAGGTGGGTGCATAATTGGCTGGATAACCGTAGTCAGAGAGTTGTTGTTAACGGTTCTAAATCCTGCTGGAAAGGGATAACAAGTGGAGTTCCTCAAGGGTCTGTTTTGGGACCCATACTGTTCAACATCTTCATCAATGATGTAGATATTGGGATAGAGAGTACGCTTATTAAGTTTGCAGATGATACCAAACTGGGTGGGGTTGCAACTTCTTTGGAGGATAGGGACATAATTCAAAATGACCTTAGCAAGTTAGAGAAATGGTCAGAGGTAAACAGGATGAGGTTTAATAAAGAGAAATGCAAAGTGCTCCACTTAGGAAGGAACAATCAGTTCCATACATACAAGATGGGAAGCGACTGTCTAGGAAGGAGCATGGCAGAAAGGGATCTAGGGGTCATAGTGGACCACAAGTTGAATATGAGTCAACAGTGTGATGCTGTTGCAAAAAAAGCAAATATGATTCTAGGTTGTATCAACAGGTGTGTTGTAAGCAAAACTCGTGAAGTCATTCTGCCGCTCTACTCTGCACTAGTTAGGCCTCAGCTGGAGTACTGTGTCCAGTTCTGGGCGCCACATTTCAAGAAAGATGTGGAGAAATTGGAAAGGGTACAGAGAAGAGCAACAAGAATGATTAAAGGTTTAGAGAACATGACCTATGAAGCCAGGCTTCATGAACTGGGCTTGTTTAGTTTGGAAAAAAGAAGATTAAGGGGGGACATGATAGCGGTTTTCAAATATCTAAAAGGGTGTCACAAGGAGGAAGGAGAAAATTTGTTCCTCTTGGTTTCTGAGGACAGGACAAGGAGTAATGGGCTTAAAGTGCAGCAGGGGAGGTTTAGATTGGACATTAGGAAAAAATTCCTAACTGTCAGGGTGGTCAAATATTGGAATAAATTGCCAAGGGAGGTGGTGGAATCTCCCTCTCTGGAGATATTTAAGAACAGGTTAGATAGACATCTGTCAGGGATGGTGTAGACAGAGCTTGATCCTGCCTTGAGGGCGGGGGGCTGGACTCGATGACCTCTCGAGGTCCCTTCCAGTCCTATTATTCTATGATTCTATGATTCTATGATAAAAGTTAAAGTATTAATTTTGTCACAGGTGAGACCGGTCTGTTACTTACCTCTGAATAAGGTTTTTGGGGGAGGAGCATGTGGTAATTATTAGGAAGAAGGAGGCTAGCAGGACACTGGAAAAGCAGCAGGGTAGGCCATGTAAGGGGACCTAGAATCCCTGATTTGGGGAAGAAAAGTGATTGGGGCTTAGGGAAGAAGCCGGCTGCTCGTGAAGGCCTTTGGAGGAGCCACTTTGTAAAGGAAGTCTGGATGTACAGTTATTGAGGACTGGGTTTAAGACAGTTTTAAGGAAGAACAGCCCAGGAACGGCTGGACTGGAAGAACTTTGGGGAAGAGGAGCCTGTTGTTGTATCTGGAGGTTGGGTGTCTGAAGGTGGGGAATCCTCCTGTGACTGAGGGAGTAAGAAGGAAAAATTGTGCCAATAAAGAATTCTGAGTTGAAGACTGGTATAATTCTTGTATAAAACCATTGCCTATGGTTTAAATGAGATAGGCACAAACTGTGTTGCTGAGCGTGGCCTTTGGAGGATACTCGTGCCTGGGTGTTCTCTCTCTCTTTCAATCACATACATACACAATCTTTAATTTAGTCTTTCCATCCCTCAGAACAAACACAGTAGCAATTCAGACTCCCTTACATTTACTTACAGCTGCTTACTTCTACCACCCTACATATTTGGTCTGAAAAACACTATAAAGTACTAACTATGAGCAGTCCTGTGGCACCTTAAAGACTCACACATTTATTTAGATATAAGCTTTCATGGGTCAAAACCACTCCATATATCTGACAAAGTGGTTTTGACCCAGGCAAGCTTATGTCCAAATAAATGTGTTAGTCTTTAAGGTGCCACAGAACTCCTCGTCATTTTTACAGATACAGATTAACATGGCTACACCTCTGAGACTTATAAAGTACTAAGGAAGTCAGCATGGCTCTGTAGATAGAGCATCAAATCTAAGGTCAGGACACCTGCCTTTTACTCCCAGACCTACCATTAATTTTCTAGGACACTACTGGCCTTCATTTAAATCCTTAGGCACTTTAACTTACACTTACTTCCAATCCCTCATCAAGTTATTCCAATGTAGACTCCAGTGAGCCCTCTATTGTCATTTTTGCCATCTGCAAAATGGGGATAATGGTATTTACCCAGGAAAAGTGTTATAGAAGTGAAAAAAATTATCCTTGTTAGGACTATGTTAATGTTCCCAAATTTGTTTGACAACATTTTAGCCAAACTTCCCCTTGGAAATTTGTTTTCCATGTTGCTGTTTTCATGTTGAACAGGAGGTGAGTGGTTTGTGGGGAGGAGAGAGTTCAATTATTCTGTATATTAGGGATGTGAAAAGTTTACCAGTAACTAGTGGGAGGCTGGAGCAGCTCCCTACCTGCTGCGGACAGGGGGCTGTTTCTGCCCTGCAGGGGGCTGACTGCTGACAGGGATTGCTCCTATGTCAGAAGAAGCCTCTGTCTGCAAGGAGCCTGGCCTTCTATTATCGGTGCTCCTCTGGCAGGGGGCTGGGAGCAGGAGCTGGCAGTAGTCCCAGCCCCTGTGCTAGGAGCTGGGAACGGGAGACCCGTGGGCTGGGGGGCTGCTGCAGCCATGTTGAAGTGTTCACCTGCCTGGATCCTGCTTAATCAGCTAACCAGTTAAACATTAGGTTAACCTAACATTTAACTGTTTAACCAGGATTTTACATCCTTACTTTATACATACTCTACTAATATGTTTTGTGGTAGAGGTGGGGGAAAGCAGAGGGACTCTAGATGTAACTGATGGGAGTAGAAGAGATGAAAAGGGCATATGCCTGCCTGGTGCAATGGTTGTAGTATCACCAGGGATTTATTTAACTCAGGTCTCCTAACTCCATCACAAGCAGCCTGAATACCATGTCACTTCTCATCATGCTTATTTCCCCTAATTACTCTCTTTACAGATCTGACTACTTATGACTCAGTGAAACATTTTTTACTTCTGAACACACCACTTCAGGACAACAGTGTGACTCACAGCATTGCAAGGTGCCTCATTATTTTATTATCCTCTCTACCCCACATATCTAATGAGATGACTCTTAGCCACAAGCTAATCATTCAATGATGTTCTGTTTTTCAGGACTATCACATTGCTGCTTCCCTTTGTCTGCTAATTGTTTCTTGGAGGTAGCCAGAAAAGGGCATGCAATGTCAGCCTAACTGTCAGTAATTTGCTGTGTAGTCCTGGGCAAGTCACTTCACTTTTTATTGCTTCAGTTACCCATCCTGTAGCTGGGAATAGTGCTACTACTTACCCAATGTTACAAAGCATTTTGAGACTGTGTATGCAAAGTGCTAGGTGGTGTTGTTAAATTATATACAGTGTATTTGGAATTCTCTGACTATTAATTCTTCCTTGAGGTAGAGAAGGAGCAGACCGAGGATAGACATAAGCTGATTGGTAATCAAAAAGCAGGAACTTAGAAAGAATAGGAGACCCGCTTAATGTTGATAGGTGCCTCCATGGTTAAGAACGTGATCTGAGGCAGAAGTGGGCCAGATGCAGAGAACAGGGTGTTCTTTGAGTGCTGTCCCTGCGGGATACTCCACTTTAGGTGTTGATGTGCCTTTGTGCACGTAGCTGTTTAGCCCACACATGTGCTCCCCCCCCCCCCCCCCCATGCCTCAGGCGTTTAACTGATGCTGTGTGGCTATCCCCTTATGCCCCCACTTCCTTCTCTACCACCACTGGCTAGAATCGGCGCTTTCAGCAGCACCTCGCAGTTACTAATTCCATCTTCTGTCCTTTTCTTTACCTGTAATCAGTAGTCCTCACTGAAATACAGGCAGTCCCCGAGTTACGCGGATCCGACATGTCGGATCCGCAGTTACGAACGGGGCCGTCTCCCTGGTCTCCAGCAGACCAGGGAGAGGAAGCAAAGCGGCGGAGCACGCGGGCAGCGGACAGCCTAGACGCGTCTGGGCTGTTCGCTGCCCGCGTGCTCTGCAGTCCAGCTATGAGAATTGCATAGCTGGAGTTGCCATACCTTAAAATGAAATTCTGGGGCAGCCCCACTGTCAAAAGTCAATAGGAGAAATGCTCGGGTTGATTTCCCTTACTACTAGAGACCCTAACTAGATCCGCTAATTGAACCCTGAAAGAGCATTGATCTTCCCATAGTATGGACAAGGCCTTAGACAACTCTAAGGACAGGGATGCAGTCTCCTGTCTATTTGCCGCCTTCTTAGTAGTTTGGCTGGGCTGCTTTGCCCTGGAAGAAGGGCCTTTGTTTGATGCGGCTGTGGGTAATTTCTGGCCAGGTGAATTCATACCTCTGGCTCAGATGCTGGGTGAAGAGATTTCTCCACAAGGAAACGATTCAGCTGTATATTTCTTGCCTTTCTTGTGTGTGATTTGTGGTGGTGGCAGTGCAGACATTTTTGTTGCATGTGTCCTCACCAAGACCCCAAGCACACTGTGAGTGGCTGTCTGAGAGGGGTATTGACAGCCAGCAAAAAAGGCAGCATTTAAAGTTGAGGGGGCAGGCATGCTGCAGAAGGAGCCTAGTCTGTCAGTTGTAAGAAGAGAGATATGGTTGTAGAGCTGCTGCAGTCACTAAGTAAATGAAACTTAGGGTACTATGAAGGGAAAAAATTGAGATGGGGAAAGAGAAAAAGGAGAGGCAGTACAGGCAGTCCCCGGGTTACGTACAAGATAAGGACTGTAGGTTTGTTCTTAAGTTGAATCTGTATGTAAGTCGGAACTGGCGTCCAGATTCAGCCGCTGCTGAAACTGATCAGTTTCAGCAGCGGCTGAATCTGGACGCCAGTTCCGACTTACATACAGATTCAACTTAAGAACAAACCTACAGTCCTTATCTTGTACGTAACCCGGGGACTGCCTGTACTGCCTCTCCTTTTTCTCTTTCCCCATCTCAATTTTTTCCCTTCATAGTACCCTAAGTTTCATTTACTTAGTGACTGCAGCAGCTCTACAACCATATCTCTCTTCTTACAACTGACAGACTAGGCTCCTTCTGCAGCATGCCTGCCCCCTCAACTTTAAATGCTGCCTTTTTTGCTGGCTGTCAATACCCCTCTCAGACAGCCACTCACAGTGTGCTTGGGGTCTTGGTGAGGACACATGCAACAAAAATGTCTGCACTGCCACCACCACAAATCACACACAAGAAAGGCAAGAAATATACAGCTGAATCGTTTCCTTGTGGAGAAATCTCTTCACCCAGCATCTGAGCCAGAGGTATGAATTCACCTGGCCAGAAATTACCCACAGCCGCATCAAACAAAGGCCCTTCTTCCAGGGCAAAGCAGCCCAGCCAAACTACTAAGAAGGCGGCAAATAGACAGGAGACTGCATCCCTGTCCTTAGAGTTGTCTAAGGCCTTGTCCATACTATGGGAAGATCAATGCTCTTTCAGGGTTCAATTAGCGGATCTAGTTAGGGTCTCTAGTAGTAAGGGAAATCAACCCGAGCATTTCTCCTATTGACTTTTGACAGTGGGGCTGCCCCAGAATTTCATTTTAAGGTATGGCAACTCCAGCTATGCAATTCTCATAGCTGGATTGGCATATCTTATATCAAATTTTTACCGTAGTGTAGACCTGGCCTAAGAAAAGCTGCTCCAGTAGCACCCAGGTTCTCCTGGTACCAGCAGCACCAGCTATATTCATGTCCCTCACACCATGCACTAAGGGGAAATCCTACATCTCAACATCTACAACATCTACAACAGTAAGTCCTGGGTACTGAGCATTTCGGTGCTCATGCTGCCACCTGCCATTGGCACTATGAATTTCAGCCAGACACCTGTGAACACAGTGAGCTATATGGTCCAGTGCTCTCCTATCACACCCGTAGCGACCTCAACCATACGAAAACAACTCCTGCACCACAGAGACTAATCTCATCAATACATCAGTCCCCTTCCTCGGTGCTTTGATACAAAGGACTCTTTCTCAGCCCAGCTTTTCACAGTTGTCAACACACTGCTTCAGTGGGGAAGACAAGGAAGAAGAAGAAATGATTGGCTTGCCTCAATATTCCTGTAGTTAGTTCTGCCACACAGATACCACCAGCCACTGGCTTCTCTGCAAACTTTGCAAACCAACCCTGGTTTGGCTGGCCCTGGATGCCTTCTATGCCATTCCAACCACGGTGGCATTCCAATCATTCTGGCAACCTTGAGCACTATACCACAACAACAGGGGTGATCCTACACTCTGCCCTGCAACTGATGCATACCAACTACCCTGTGCTGCCATCACATACACCTCCTAGTTTCTCTAAACAGGGGGATGAAGAACCAGAGGAATTCTTGGACACACATGACACAGCCAACAATCTTTTTTTCCCCTTTTGGATGACTGCCTACTGAAAGCACCATCACTAGTCATAAAATCCAACCAACTTGCAATCCAGCTCTTTACCTTCTTAGGGCTTCAAATAAACTTTCCAAAGTCCACCCTAGCACCGGTCCACAACCTTAAATTCATTGGCAGACCTTCACTCCCTTAAAGCAACTGCTTCCCTTCTAATAAAACACTGAGGCTCTAGCTGACTTAGTCTCAACAGCATGGTAGAGCCTGCAGTTTTCTGCCAGGATGTACCTATAGCTTCTAGGCCACATGGCCACTGTGACCTGTGTTGTCCATCACACGAGGTTTCACATGCTGTCTTCACACCTAGCTATGGACACAGTATGTTTCTCATAGGGAAAGCATGCACAAACTCCCTACCATGCCCGGCACAGTCAAGGATTCCCTGTTAAGGGGGAACAATCTAGATAATATCTGCATTGGAGTGCACTTCACACAGAATCCACCTACCCTTGCCATTACTACAGACAGGTCCCTCCTAGCTGGGAGGCACACCTACAGACTCATTCTGTACAGATCTGCTGGTCTACCGTGGAGTCCCAACTTCAGATCAGTCTTCTGTAGCTTCATGCAGTTTGCAGTGCCTCACACTTCCATCTGTTGATCCAAAACAAAATGATACAGATCTTCATGGACAACATCACCAGTATGTTCTACAAAAAAAGACAAGGGGGAGCACAATCACATTCCATGTGCATGGAAGCCATATGCCTCTGGCAATAATGCATCAAACACAATGTCCATGTGATAGCATCATACTTACCTGGCTGCCAAAATAACATGGCAGATGCAACCTCACAAAATTCCAAATCCCTCTGATTCTGCTCCAGGGTGACTTGAATCACCCAGAGAGTGATGGCTCTCATTAAGTGGAATGTTCCCTTCCTCTATGCCTTCCCCCACCTCCTGAGTATTCTGCAAGATAAAACAGGATGGGGCCATAGTGATCCTAATAGCCACCACATAGACATGACAAATGTGGTATCCATACTTTCTCCACAGGCCAGTCTGTTCACTGCACAAGCTCTTGCCTCTGCCTTGACTCCTATAGCATCCATCCAGATCCCCACAAACTTCAACACAAAGCATGGATACTGAATGGCAAAATGACATAATGGTACTGAGTATATTGTTAAATAGTCATTGGAAAACTATTCAGCACACATAAACACACATAAGTGGAAACACTTTGAATCATGGTGCCAACATAAACTGACTGCACTTGTCGGCCTCTTTTTTCCCCTTATTCTAGATTCCCTGCTGGAACTCAAACTAACTGGAATTTCTATACCCTCAATCCATGTCCACCTGTCTTCCATTACGTTTTTTCATTAAAAAAACAATGGATTCTCTATCGCACATCCCATCACCACTCTCTTCTTAACGGGCTTCTCAAACTTCTATCCAGATGTGAGAGAACCTGCTCCACCATGGGACCTTAGTCAGTTCCTCCATGCCCTCACCGGACCCCCTTTTGAGCCCTTAGATACAGACTCCTTATTACACCTTTTCTAGTGGCCATTACATCATCCAGATGAGTGGGAGAGCTAGTGGCTCTCATAGCTGACCCATCCTGCACAGTCTTTTTTAAAGTGTGTCAAGACCACATCCTAATTTTTTACCTAATGTGGTATCATCCTTTTACCTCAACTTAAGGTACGTAACTCCAGCTGTGTAAATAACGTTGCTGAAGTCAACATACCTTAAGCTGAGCTTAGCATCGTCTTCACAGTGGGAGGCTTATGGGAGCAAATGCATCCCTTGGCTTACCTTACTCTTCACGGCTGCTAGATCTTACTAGACCTGCTAAATTGAACCCAGAAGATTGATCTTTGGTGTGGTAAGAATAGATGTGGCTTGCATTTGGGGAGTTGTTAGATCTTCCACTGTTGTAAATAAGTTTATCGCCTTTAAAAACAATGAAGCAATGCTAATTTATTCCAGTTACCTTCCACTTTTCCTCTGAGTATAATCTTCTGTTTTATTTTATTGTATGCTTGGCTCTATTATGGTGTGACTCTACAGTTCTTATATATGCTATTTTTCCAGAGAGCATTTCCTGGTGTTTTAAATATTTGTAGTATAGTCCCCTTGGGAAGGTCCCATGTTCCACAAAACTTCAAGTTGTACTTCAAGAATATGTACCACTTCATGACAACACATGCTTCCTGCTACTGAGGGAGCACAGTCTACAGGGGAGAATACGTGAGAACCTCGTGGGTCTCCTTCCCTCAATGATCTCCCTGCCCAGCAGCTACCTGGAGCCACGACACTCTTCTTGCCCCATCAGCGTTACCAACTGGGGTTGGAGAGGCTCTGTCCTTCTCCTGCTATGCCTCCCCAGGTATGTTGGATCCTGTTCCAGGCAACTGGGCCCAGATGGAGAGCCGAGGGAGGAGGCAGGGGACCACTTCTCACACCAGCCGAATCTGTCTACTCCAGCTTCTAACTTTGTGCGGTGTGTCCAGTGCCTGAGAGAGAGTCTGGTTGGGCCAGCGGACTGCTGCTCTAGCCAGGCTCTCTCGCAGCCAGCAGCTGTGCTGCATAGAGCAACAACCTGGAACCACTGGCATGACAAGTTTGCTGGTCCTGCCTTTTCTGCTCTCCACTCGGCCTTGATGCCAGGAACTGAGCATGCTAGTGCAGCAGGCATAGCAGGAGAAGGGAGCTACTCTCCCACCCTATGCTGGGCAGGACAAGCAGAAATGGGGGAGGGGGCACTTGATCTTGCATGACCTCCATGCACTGTGTATGCGTCACATTGTACTAATGAAGCTAGGGCAGTTGGTTCTGAGTGGAGATATGGGAGCCAAAGCTGGGCCAGTTCTTCCCAGCTCTGTCCTAACTGGGAAACCCACATTAAGTTATAAGGTATTAATAATGATTTAGTGACAATAGCCCTGAAATGTCTTTATTTTTGAAACTGGGATTTAGGTGGTTGAATTAGAATGCTAACCCTTGATTTGTTTTTTCTTTAAATACCATCTTTTGTTACTAGTGTGTGTTCTGGTCTGGTAGCTGCAATCCTGGGAACTCCTGCTGATGTCATCAAAACACGGATAATGAACCAACCAAGAGATAAACAGGGAAGGTATAGATATTTCCAAGAGGGTGTTTCACAACTTCAGTAGTAACTTAGGACCTGGACTGAACTCCCAATGAAATCAGTGGAAAGATTCATATTAATTTCTTTAATGCATCATGTCTTGGACATCTAGACTCTTAATCTTTCTGCTTATTGTTTTGGTGTTTGTTTTTGCATATAAAAACTATGCTTGTAGTAATGGTCCATAACTACTTTCAGAATTTTACATATAGTTTCCTTTTTGGTCTAACTTCGTAGACTCCAGTGGGTCTATGCCAGGGATATTGTTTCTAAATGTAACTTTTCATAGGAGCTACCCTGATGATTTTGGGGTGGTGAGCATGCTGAAACACTTTCATTTCATAGTCTATTTGTGTATTTGTAATACTAACTTTGTTTTGTTCTTTTTCCTTATTTGTAGGGGACTACTGTATAAGTCTTCTACAGACTGCTTGATTCAGGCTATACAAGGTGAAGGATTTATGTCTCTATACAAAGGCTTTTTACCAACCTGGATGCGAATGGTAAATTACTTTCTCTTTTAGTATAAACTCTTTACAGTTAGTTTGTAATGCAGTGTTGTACAACTACAACACTGATGTGTTAAGAGCCTTATCCTGACAGGTGTTGAATGTCTTCAGTTCCCACTGACTATGCTAGGAACTGAAGTTGGACTACTTTGTAGGAGGCACTGAGCACCCTGCGGGATTGGGTCTTAAAACAGAATGAGCACACTACACAGAATACATTACAGCAATACTGATTCTCAGATATGTATTTCATAGTCCTTTGTCATATTTATTAAATCATTAAACTTGGAAAATACTAATATGAGGTTTTAAAAATGAACTGAATTAGAGTACATTGTTAGTGCACTAGTCAATTAACTCTTGAGGCATGAACCCAAGCCTTGCCTCCAGTTACATGGGAAAGACAAGTCTCTGTTTAAATACCTTCATGACAGGCATCATAAAAACTCTTTAGCTAGATTTGAGTTCTCAGTTGTCCACCTCACCAAACACCCACATTGGCTAACATGATCATCACTGTTTGCTCAGAAGAGATCCCGGGCCAAGACTGATGTGTACTGACAGAACTTTGTGTTTGGTTATCCTGAATTGCTAAGTTCTCAGATCACATAACCTAAGTGCTTCTCTATACAGGTAATCAGACAGGCATAGATATAGTGGGATAATAATTCTGCTATAGCTATGCCAGTACAGTATAACTGTGTATGGATACTCTATTCCAAATAAACATGACTTTGTTACTCTGCTTGTCCCAGTCTTTTTGTCCAACCACTGCAATTCTTGTCCTGCTCTCCCTGCCCAGTTAGATTCAGCCCTCCTTTAGGTGCTTGTCCAATGTCAGTCTTCTCCCCACTCACTTAGTCCCAGAATCTAAATCCCCTGGTTTCTCTGTCCAGCTGCCTGTCTCCTTTGCCAACTAGTCCCAGTCCCACTCCCACTGACATCAGTCTAACTCTTGTTCTCTGCAGTCAAGTCAAGCAGCTTCTTCCTTTAGGCTCCCTGAGCATCAGCAAAGAGAGCACTGAGGCCTGGTCTACACTACATGGGAGGGTCAAAGTAAGATATGCAACTCCAACTATGTAAATTATGTAGCTGGAGTTGATGCATCTTAAATTCCCGTCCACAGAGTGGGAGGTCGACGGAAGCAAATGCTCCTGTCGGCTTCTCTTACTCCTCGCAAAGAGTAAGAGTACCGGCACTGATGGGGGCTCCCTGTGAGTTCGATCTAGGGGGTCTGTACTACACCTGCTAAATCGAACCCGTGGCAGCGCTGATTGTCCATGAAGTGTAGACATGCCTTGAGAACACAGAACATAAAATATTTATGCTCTCAGTTCCTGTGCCTGGTATCACAGCAGCTAGAAGGAACAATTACAAGAAAATCCCTGCTCAGCTATTGCATCCATGAGTTGGACTATGCCCAATAAAGTCAGAATTTCAGAGAATTTAGGAGCCAAACTCTAAGGCTATGTCTACACTGGCACGATCTTGAGCCAGAGCTATGCAAATGAGGCTAAGCATGGAGTATCACCGAGCCTCATTTGCATATCTAATGAACCGCCATTTTGTGGAAGAGGCTCTTGCACTAGAAGGAGCTGTCTACACTGCCCATTCTTGCGCAAGAAAAACGCTCTTGCGCAATGCCGTTATTCCTGAAAATAATCAGTGTAACGGCATTGTGCAAGAGGGTTTTTCTTGCGCAAGAAGGGGCAGTGTAGACAGCTCCTTCCTGCACAAAAGCCTCTTCCGCAAAAATGGCGGCTCATTAGATATGCAAATGAGGCTTGGCGTGGCCAGGGAAGAGGCGTTCTTTTTAACAAAGAGGAAAAAGTACAGGTATCCTGGAGGCCACTCCATCCAAAGTGATCATAGCTTAAATGCAAGATAGCATCCACACTGAATGGACACTATCTTTTGAAAAAGCAGATTGGTTTTTCAATGAGCTTTTTCTGTGTAGATGCTCTCTTTTTGCAAGAAGTTTTTTCGGAAGATCTGTGCTGGAAAACCTTCTTCTGAAAAAAGCCTGCAGTCTATACACAGCCTAAGTATCCACTGAGCATGTTCCAAATTTTTTTTTCAAAGATTTATAATTTGGCCAAATTTGGGGGGTTTTTTTTGGGGGGGGGAAGCAAAAGCACATCTGTGATAGAGATAGCATTCTGTCAAATTTCAGTCCCTTTCCACAATATATGTTGGTATTACAGCTGTTCTTCTAAATAGCTGTAAGAATTGCTAGAAGATGGGCAAAATGATGTATTTTCCCCTAATTTCATTTTTGAATATAGCTGAATGCTTTTTGCTGTAATTTCTGAAAGAAGTTCAGCCTTCAGCAGATGCCTGACATGGAAAATTTCAGTCCAAAAGCTTACATTTTAGCAAAATAAATTGGAAAGGGTGTCTTATGGGAATGATTGGGCAATGTTAACTATAGGCAATGCTATCACCTTGACATGTAATACATAATACTGCACCCTCCATAAATGTAAAATCTAGCTAAGAAAAACATAAATAGTTTAATATAGTTATATGTATCTCTGTTAAACTGGCTAATAAACACTTATTAAAATATTACCTCTGTTCTAAGTTTGTAATCATTTGTGTGGTTTCTTTTGCAGGCTCCTTGGTCATTGGTGTTCTGGCTTACCTATGAACAAATCAGAAGGATCTGTGGAGTTCGTTCTTTTTAAGGTCTTGAAAGCATCTACTAATCACATAAAAAATAAAACAGAATTGGAAATCCAGTGGGTCATCAATAAAACAACCAATCCCTATGGAAACTGGCTATTTTGGGAGATTGGCAGTAGTCTCTCATCTTTAAGTCATCACTTCAAATTTAGGTGGATGGGCAGTGATTCAATGTTACCTTCTGATTGCCACTTGACAGACTCTTGAGAGTTAGCAAAAGTGGTCACTTTGAAGGGCAACCACCTCTTAAAAGGTTTGCACACAGGAGAGCATTGGCTGTTGGCTGGATGCCCAGGTTGGCCACTCTCACCAGCAGTGCTGCTACCAACAACAGCACAAAAGTACAGATGGTGTGGTATGGTATGCTAGTCAACTACTGATAAGTGAAGATCAATTTCTCCTACAGGTTTGTTTTAATGGATAGGAATAAGAAAATGTGGTCACTGGTTGCAGGTGACCATCTGGTCACTCTTCACAGGTAAATTACAGGGGGAAAACTTTCCATGGCCTCTGCAAGTAGTCACTCATGAAAGATGGTCTCTCTTAAGAAGTAGTTGCTAAAGCAGGTTCTACTATATAGTGTTGGTAGTCTCCACAAAAGGGTCTATTACAAAAAGCATTACTCCAACTGGCAAAGTGTCAGCCATGCCAGAAGAGGCAGCAGAGGCAAAACAATACACTAAGGGTACGTCTAGACTACAGGCTTTTGTCGACAGATACTGTCGACAAAGCTTCTGTTGACAAAGAGCGTCTAGACTACGTTCAGTTCTGTCGACAAAGCAAGCTGCTTTGTCGACAAAACCCTGTAGTCTAGACACAACCCTAGATGCAATAACACCTTCTGTCGACAGAACTCTGTCGACAGAAGGCGTTATGCCTCGTAAAATGAGGTTTACCAGCGTCAACAAAATTGCTGAGTTCTGTCGACGTTATGTCGACAGAACTCAGCGGTAGTGTAGACGCAGGTTTGGGTTTGTCCACAAAAGTCCACTTTTGTCGACAAAACCCTGTAGTCTAGACACACCCTAAGTAAATACATTTTTTATCCTAGAGAGGGCTCCTGTAGCTAAGGATGAAACTCTAGGTTAGGGCTACTCAACACACAGCCCACATGCAGCGTCAATCCGTTTGTTTGCAGCCCGCGGTGCAGTTTGGGTTTACGTGGGCTTAACATGCGGCTCATTGGTGGGATCCTTTGAACATGGCCTCCACTGGGAATACACTCCACAACAACAAGGTGTCCCCCAGGCGGGGTGAACATCGAAAGATGCAAGTGGATGGGCTGGCTGGAACAGACGGGTACAGGGTGTCAGCATTTCTAGCCCCCAGGGAGGAGGTGTCAGGAGTGCTGGGGCATTGTGTGAAAGAAGCTATTTGCATATATATACAACCACACTTAAGTTGCAGCCCTCGGCATGTGCTGTGAGTATCATTGTGGCTCCTTGGGGCTTCCAAAGTTGAATAGCCCTGCTCTAGGTACTTCTGTAGAGCTCTAGGTACTTCTATATAACACGTATCTTTTAAATCATGTATTATATAAATTCTGTGGATTAATAAAAGACCTGAGTGTAAATTTTGGAGCTTTTTATTAGAATTATACACATGTGTACACACTAAATAAAAGTACATCGCATATAGGTCTGTCATTTCTTAGCAAATCAAGCATTAGGTGCTGTAATAGTTTAATACAGTAGACTTAGCTGTGCAGACTTGACCTCAAATGTGTTTGATATAACGCGAAAGAAGTTGATAGGGTCAACTTATTTCTCAATGGATGTATACCCACTTTATTCTACCACTCCCTGTTTGGAGACACTCCTGTATAAAGGGAAGCTCAATTATTTTAGACTGCTTAAGTCCCACATAAGGTCTTTTGGACAGCTTTGCAACCTAGGCACTGTGGCGACACCACTGCTTAGCTTCCTACAAGTCACAAACAGGTCATGGGCTTCCATTATTTTTGCTTTTTGCCCATGATCTGTCTATGGCTGTGTCTACATTGGCAAGATTTTGCGCAAAAGCAGACACTTTTGCGCAAAATCTTGCCACCTGTCTACACTGGCCGCGAGTACTTGTGCAAGCACACTGACGCTCTAATGCAGTGGTCTCTGACCTTTTTACACCCAAGATCAGTTTTTAAATACCCAAACAGGCGAAGATCTACTGCCCCGCCCCTTTCTTGAAGCCCCGCCCTCTCTATTCTCCTTCTGTCCATCATTTGCTGTCCCCAGCCCTTACTTACACACTCTGATAAACAGTTTATTTTTAAATTATGCGATGTATAAAATTAAAATCGTGTTTATAGTTATGAAATAAATGGTCTTTTTTATTCATGCTATTTAAATCTAAAATGAAGCATTTATAATTATACATTTTGTGGGGACAGAGTTCTGCAGCTGAGGGGCAGGGGAGAGGGAACAGAGTGCTGGGAGGGAAGAGGACAGGGTTCTGCAGCAGGGGACAGAGTGCCAGTGGGGACAGGTTTCTGCAGCTGGGGACAGGGTGCCAGTGGGGACAGGAATAGGGACAGAGTTCTGTAGCTGGGAACAGGGGAGTGGGAACAGAATTCTGTGGCTGGTGACTGGAGAGTGGGAACAGAATTCTGTGGCTGGGGACGGGAGTGGGGACAGAGTTCTGTAGTTGGGAACAGGAGAGTGGGGACAGAGTTCTGTAGCTGGGGACAGGGGAGTGGGGACAGCGTTCAGGGAGTGGGGAGGGGAGTGGGGACAGAGTTCTGTAGCTGGGGACAGGAGAGTGGGGACAGGGTTCTGTG